GTAGATACATATGCCTTAAAGGGGTCCCTATATGGGCACTTCAAGGTCTAAGTATCTACTATATGGGTACACGGAGCCTTTGGGATAGTTCCGAGACCCCCAAACTTCTCCCCGAGCCTGAATCCCAAATCCTAACCCTATGCCTCCAGGGACCTTATTATGGGGTCCTTGAGGGGTCTTATGAGGTCCTTGGAGGGAAAGGGTAACCCTAAACCCCTACAGAACCCGAGCCTGAGCATCCCAAAACCCTAAACCCCGCACTCGAGACTCTTGAGCCTCCACCCAAAACCAAAACCTTAGGGGTACTTAGAAATAATTTTTAATTTTTGGTTATTATAATCCCTAAGAAACAGCTAAAATTATAATTTTTGCTAGGGTTCTAAGTTCAGTGTAGAAACAACGAACCTCCAAAACCTAAAACCTCTAAGCGACGTCGAAGCCGAGCACTTGGGGAATCCTTGGGGCATCCCTTGCGGCCGCGCCTTTGGCTCAAAAGGCTTCAGCCTATACCTGATCATAGTGTCTATAGGGTTACAAACAATAGTTATAACCGTAGTTACCAGATCCCATGATCCCCTGAGTATAGATCCAAAGCTGCCATGTAAGAAGCATAGTTAGAATAGGGCTTGATGGTATATTATAGTATACAAAACGAGTTTTTGAGATATATTTTCGCATGGGGACTATAATGACCGGACATTACTCCAAGCAGCCGCCTGACTCATACAAGCCTTGTCCAAACTAGACAGTCCACTCTTTTGATCAAGAGTTCTGCACTCCCCCCGCCCTGACATCTGAGACCCAGATCGTTTCAACACCCGTATAAAGGGCGGAGCTTGAACCCAGCCCTCCGGCCCTGCAACGCCAGGGCATCAACGCAACGTCCAAATATTCTGAAATCCAACTCTGAACCCCGAAGCATGGACACCTTCACGTCCTCAGCCCGTAAGCCTAAATGCTGGACCGACATGGCTCGGGCACACCGAGTCCCGCATCATACCCTAGACCCAAATTTGCCATAAAGCCTAAGCTCCGAGACCTAATATACTAAACCTCTAGACCCGTGAACCTCCCCAAACCCCAAACCCTAGTTCTTGCGGCTCCTCCGCAGACTAAAATCCGAGACGCTCCCTCACATGTTCTGGCCCAGAGAATGGACGCGGCGGCGCAAGGAGGCAGACCCTCTGCTCAAGACATGGGTGGTTGAGTATGATACGGCACCTTGTATTTGGGGTACCCCAAAAAGCGACCATATTATTGTTGATGGACAAAATCCTGCATGACCCTAAGGACTCTAAACTATGGCAATTAAGGTATATTCCTTATAATGGGTAATGCAGGATTTTGTCCGTCAGCAGTATTGATTACCCACATCGAACTCGAGCCTCTGGACTTCGAATAAATAACCAACAGAATTGTTGCTTTCGGTCGCCTTTGTTCGTGCACATGTTTGTCTGTGTGTTCGTGTGTATAGAAAAAACCGCATCTATCTTTCTATCGATCTATCCCTAGCAGCAAGAATGTTGACTATAGTAATGGAAAAGAGCAATAATCATGAATCATGGTAAGAAAAACACAGTTTAATAACCATAACAGTCATGTTCATGCGACTAATAGTGATACTAATAACACAAACTATTGAATACAAGACTCAGAGTATAACAGTAGCCACATGTGAACAATAGTGTTACGAATACTAGTATTGCTGCTCACAACCATGATCACCATGATAATCATCATAGTAGCCACACTCGCAATAGCACTATTGTTGATCGTATAATTCACCATTAACAGGCAGAATCAGACTCACACTCAATATCCATATCATAAGACTCATAACCTCAATCACATATGACATAAAACATAATCATAATGTTAATCATATATATATATATATATATATATATATATATACAGGCACATACTGTATACACACATATGAATGAACAATGACTCTGTGTTTGTTTAATTACATACTGTATACATTATGAAAACTTCGAAACTCCAGTCTAAGTATTATCTATGAAAACCGCATGACTCCTACCTTCCACGCCCAAAGCTCCTGGGATTCCTAGGGTCTTACCCTAAGAGTCCATGTATCCAAATAGTTTATACTTAGGCCTTAAAGTAGTCCCTATGTAGGTACTTGGGTGCCAAAGTATATACTATTTGAATACATGGACCCTTAGGGTTTCACTCAAACATGTCCACAGTAAATCCTGCCTGCCCCCGAGGCCCCACGTCTGCTAAAAATGTTGGAAGTCGGGCCCCTAAGACCAGAAAAAGGATGCTTAGGTTTTAGGGTTTAGGGGTTGGGGGGTTTGCCGTTCCCCGGCATGGATGCAAAAAGGGGTTTAGGGTTTTAGGGTTTGGGGTTTTTTGTGGACCCATGTCCATAATGGTAGTATATATGGAGCCTTGGGTGCATGCGATCATATCCCTACGTTCGTAGGCTTTTGAGTTTTGGGTTAGAAGTTCAGGGTTAAGTGTTTAAAGTTCAGTCTCACATATCTGCTCGTGTTCCGGGTACCCAATGATATGCTCATAGTGTTGTGGAATGCAGCAAGTAGGTATTCTGGAATAGGGGTCCCCCGTGACCTTCTGATGACTATCATGTAAGTCTCTTGCTGCAGTTTTTGTTTCATGCTGCTTTCGGGGCTTATGGCCTTCGGAGAGCAGGTGCTGTATAGCTGAAAGGCTTGGTGGTTTTGTACGGCTTGGGGATTCCGAAGCTTCCGGCGACAAATCCCGGACCTACTATTCTACCTTCTCAGGCACAAAGCCCTTAAAGTTGAATGGGAACCCAGGGACCTCAGCCATCAAGGAGTGCAGTCTCGGAAAAGCCCGTCACCCCAAGCCATCCTAAACCTACAGCCAGAAGCCTAAACACTCCTGAATCCGAAAGCTGTACCTAGAACCCCCCAACTACCCCTTATTGTAGTCCTTAATTACCTCTTATTTTTGAGAAATATTAGATAAATTCCTCTTATTTATGAGAAATATTAGATAAATTCCTCGTATTTATGAGAAATATTAGATAAATTCCTCTCCTCCCTGGAATACGCTTTGCAGCTCTTCTCCGGCTACGCGGGGGCCTTGCTACTGGAAGCTGCGAAGGCTGTTTGGGCTTTGAGTTTCAGGGTTTTGGGTTTAGGGTTTAGGGTTTAGGGTTTTAGGGGGTTTGGGGCTCTGCTCTGAGAATATGCAGGTTTACTTGGGAGGGCTACGAGGATGGCAAGTTTCCTGCCGTCCTACGAGCAGTGCAGGCGGTCGGTGGTGAGCAACAGCGCAGGAGGCGGCAGAGTCGGTGGAAGGTGAGTCCGACGGCCGTGTGTCGCCTGGGGTGCGAGAGGTGCCGGTGCAATCGACATCGGAGGAGGTTGCTGCCATGCGTCGCAGGGCCGAGCGTGAATCAGGTAACAAGGTCGTGGAACCGGCGGCGATGGGCAAGAGGGCCGCAGAGTCCCGGCAACGAGAGGAGGAAAGGGCCGCCCGAAGAGCTGCAGAAGCGGCAGCAGATGCTTATGGTGATTCTCGTGAGATAGGATCCCTAGAGGTTAGTGGGCTTGGGGCTTACTTTTCAAGAATTTTGTATATCCCACCAATTCCACTTCCACAACAAGGATAAATGCACTAAAGTAAAAGCCAGAAAGTTGGAATATGATTATCCTAAACCCTTTATGGTAAATTATAGGGTATCCTACCCTGAAACCATATTCCAACTTTCTGGAGTTCCCTTTAACATCCTCGAAATTTGCAACCTGGGCCCTGACCTTGGAACCCCTTTAGGGGATAATGAGTTGGGCCACACCGGGGGTTTCCAAAATAGGGGACCCGAATGTAGTATTGTAAGGACCCCAAATAAGGTACCCCTAATTTCCGGAAACTCCCAAATGGTCGCAGATTTGAGGTTCGGGCCTTTAAGGTTGAGGCTGTGGAGTTTGGATTGGTTCCTTGAAGTGGGTTTGCCACTTGGCGTTTGTGTTTCAGAGCATGGGATTCTCACGTAATTGCCTCATACTCATGCAGGTCGTTGAAGCGCACATTCGGAAAGCTCGCTTGGACTCCGCACCCGCTCCAAATTCAGACCTAGACGCTGCAACAAATTCCGTGACAGGCGATGGCACCAAACCCTAAATCCCTCAACCTTGAAGCCCAAATCCCTTGCTCCTTCAACTTAAGCTGCCTGAATCCTAAGCCCCATAGCCCCCCATCAACGCTGCACGCTGACCAAACTTCTGATCCTAGTGCCTGAGTGAACCGCCGCGAGCCCCATGGCCAATTGCATGTGTTCGGAAGTGCCATGATGCAGATCTTGGGTGTCTCCCTGCCTGCAGAAGCCGATCCGGAAAGGACGAAGGAGACCGTAAGCGTTCATTGCCTGGCAGGTTCCAGCTTTGAGCTGGAGGTTAACTCTGGCGAAACGGGGTGGGATGTCGCAGAACGCATCGCTGTCGAAGTTGGCCACCTTACAGAGACACTCGTGCTGACATCCGGTGGTTGTGTTCTCGACCAGCACCGCCCGCTGCTGCAGCAAGTTCAAAACGACGAGATCACGTACCTGGGTTCTTGTTAACGGGTTTAGTTTAAGTTACCATAATATGGACACCATATCATTTACAATAGATCCCGCTTATGGTAACTTAATTTGAATGTAAACTTTTTGACAAGAACCCAGGTACGTGGTGCAGAAGCTTGGTGCGGGTCTTGCTGCGAGGAGTTGGGAGGTTCTTCTGGCGGGGAGGGCGCTGTCTTACAGGGATGTAGCTGCCCTGAACGAAACGGTGTCACTTACATGGGAATCCAACCAGATTCCCAACCGGGACATCCAGCTACCCAGCAGCCTGCGGAGTTTGACGTTTGGCCGCAAATTCAACCAGAGTTTGGACGGTATCCAACTACCCAGCAGCCTGCAGAGTTTGACTTTTGGTGCCTTGTTCAACCAGAGCTTAGAGGGCATCCAACTACCCAGCAGCCTGCAGAGTTTGACGTTTGGCGACATGTTCAACCAGAGCCTGGAGGGCATCCAACTACCCAGCAGCCTGCAGAGTTTGACGTTTGGTGCTATGTTCAACCAGAGCCTGGAGGGCATCCTATTCCCCAGCAGCCTGCAAAGTCTGACATTTGGCAGCATGTTCAACCAGAGCTTGAATCAGACTGTGACGTTTGGATACGGCTTTAACCGGAGTTTGGACGGCATCCAACTTCCCAGCAGCCTGCAGAGTCTGACGTTCGGCTTCGACTTCAACCAGAGCCTGGAGGGCATCCAGCTACCCAGCAGCCTGCAGAGTTTGACGTTTGGTGACTTGTTCAACCAGAGCCTGGATGGCATTCAGCTACCCAACAGCCTGCAGAGTTTGACGTTTGGCGGCATGTTCACCCAGAGCTTGCATGGCATCCAGCTACCCAGCAGCCTGCAGAGTTTGACGTTTGGCCGCACGTTCAACCAGAGTTTGGATGGTATCCAGTTACCCAGCAGCCTGCGAAGTCTGACGTTTGGCGGCATGTTCACCCAGAGCTTGGATGGCATCCAACTACCCAGCAGCCTGCAGAGTTTGACGTTTGGCCGCAAATTCAACCAGAGTTTGGACGGTATCCAACTACCCAGCAGCCTGCAAAGTCTAACGTTTAGCTTCGACTTCAACCAGAGCCTGGAGGGCATCCAGCTACCCAGCAGCCTGCACAGTTTGACGTTTGGTGACTTGTTCAACCAGAGCCTGGATGGCATTCAGCTACCCAACAGCCTGCAGAGTTTGACGTTTGGCGGCATGTTCACCCAGAGCTTGCATGGCATCCAGCTACCCAGCAGCCTGCACAGTTTGACGTTTGGCCGCACGTTCAACCAGAGTTTGGATGGTATCCAGTTACCCAGCAGCCTGCGAAGTCTGACGTTTGGCGGCATGTTCACCCAGAGCTTGGATGGCATCCACCTAACCAGCAGCCTCAAGAGTTTGACGTTTGGCAGTTGTTTCAACCGGAGTTTGGACGGCATCCAATTACCCAGCAGCCTGCAAAGTCTGACGTTTGGCGACATGTTCAACCAGAGCCTGGATGGCATCCAACTACCCAGCAGCCTGCAGAGTTTGACGTTTGGCCGCACATTCAACCGGAGTTTGGACGGTATCCAATTCCCCAGCAGCCTGCTAAGTTTGACGTTCGGCTTCGACTTCAACCAGAGCCTGGAGGGCATCCAGCTACCCAGCAGCCTGCAGAGTTTGAGGTTTGGTGACTTGTTCAACCAGAGCCTAGAGGGCATCCAGCTACCCAGCAGCCTGCAGAGTTTGGCATTTGGCAGCGCGTTCAACCAGAGCTTGGAAGGAATCCAGCTCCCTATGAGTTTGCGGAGTTTCACTTCGCGAGTATTTGGTGTAAGCACCTTGCCGTAGGGGTGAACTATTTGGCCAAAAGGCAGATCTCATCCGTAGAGTTACAGCACCTTGGCTGTCGTAACATTGTAGGGTTTCCGGCTCAAGATATACGGTTTCCGTCTTCAGACATGCAGTGTCCGGTTTAGGATACAGGGCCACAGGGCATTCTTGGGCGTGAAGGTCTATAGGGTTCCGGATTCTGGAATATGTCAACCATGGTATCCTAAACCCTAAGCCCTCGGGCCCTCTTCGGAGTTTGTACCTCCCGGTGTTCGACAGCGTCTTCCCGCCAACCAAAAGGGAGTTTCCGAAAATTGGGGGTACCTTACGTGGGGTCCTTATAATAAGGATCCTACTATTTAGGGAACTATATTAGGGTCCCCTATTTTCGGAAACTCCCATATCGGTGCTCTCCTGGATCAAAGAAAGGTTTGCCAGTTTTGATCTCAAACTGAGGGCGGCGATGAACACGGACGGCTGGCTATAGCCTTTGCAGTTGCAGCCCTAACCCTAAACCCTAAACCCCAAACGTCTCATTCACTGCGACGGCGAGTTGCAGAGCGTGACTTCTGGCACTGCAGCTTGAGTCCCAAAGGCTCCATGTACCTTTATAGTAGATACTTAAGCCTTAAAGGGCTCCCTACAAAGGCACTTTACGGCCTAAGTTTATACTACATGGGTACATGGAGGTTTAGGGAGTGAAGAGTGGCTCCGTGGCTTTTCGCCCGGCGCAGCCGTCCACTAGGACCCAGAGTCGGCCGGTAGGTTGAGGCTCCCTTATAACCACCTGTAAACCCAAAAGGGCGCCCTTCTTGTTCCTAGGTTATTCTTGGGTCCAGCCCATATGTGTGGACCTGCCCAGCCATCTTTGCTTAGGGGTACATAGAAAGAATTTTTAATTTTTGGTAACTATATCCCCGAAGAAACAGCCAAAATTCTAATTTTTGCTAGGGTTCTAAGTTCAGTATAGTTTGTAGGCCTGTCATGTCTGGGGAAACTGGAAGTGGCTCGATCTGACTTGAGCCACATCCGTGAGAGAAACCCAAACCCTAAACCTCTAAGCCCCTAAAACCCTAAACCCCTAAACCCCGACACCCCTACACCCCCTAAGCCCCTAAACCCCTAAACCCCTAATCCCTAAACCCAAAGAAAGACCTAAGCCCAGACTATACTACAGCCTTGGCACCCTGAAATCCTAGAGCCTTGGGGGCGGAAACCAACAGCCCGAAAAGACTCACAACCTCACCGAAACCTAAAGCCCCTCCCTACCGTCCCAGAGAGACCAATACCGCTTAGGGTTTAGGGTTTAGGGTTTAGGGGCAATACCCCTTAATTAAGGAATATAGCTAAGTCATAATACGAAGCCCTAAATAATTGACCCAGAACTCTTCGAGCCAGCGACTCCCTGATGCTGCGGCACTTGTGGGTACGGTTGATGATAGAAATCCTGCATTACCCTCAATAAGGAACATACCATAATTCCCATAGTTTAGGGTCCTTAAGGTAATGCAGGATTTATATCATCAGCCCTGAGCCCTAAACCCTATAGATCCCTTAAAGGCAGCCCTTAAAGGTACCCCTATAGATCCCTTTAAAGGAACCCTAAGGATTTATATCATCAGCCGTATGGAGAGCTCCGACTTCCCCTGTGCGTCACAGGAGCTGATCTTCCCAGTGGGATGCTTCTGTTGATGATTATCCTAGGGTTCCTTTAAAGGGATAAGGGGTCTATAAGGGTACCTTTAAGGGGTTCCTTGAAGGGGTCTATAGGGTTTTAGGGTTTAGGGTTGATGAAATTAAATCCTGCATTACCTTCTCCCAATCCAAGTTGCTAAGTCCCCTAGGACTTTAAGCAAGGATCGAACCCAACCCCTAAACCCTAAACCCTAAGCCCTAAGCCCTAAACCCTAAACCCTAAACCCTAAACCCTAAACCCGAAGCCCCGTATGGCAAAGGCTTGGGTCTTTGGGCAAATCCCGGCCTTAGGTTTGAGACTTTAGGGCCGGCTTCTATAAGGGATCCTTAAGGGTTCCTGTTAAGGATCTACAAAGGGGTTCTATAAAGGGTTTGGGTTTTTTTCGCTTTAGGGTTCAGGGTTGAGGGTCTAGGGCTTAGGGTGCAGTTTAGACTTTAGGGCCTAGGCTTCATGGGCTGATGGGCTCAGCATTTCGGTTGTAGGATTTGGCACTAGCATCATAATTACCACATGCTGTCACATACAGCTACTCTAAGCCACGACTGCTACCCTAAACCTTGCACTACACCCTGAACCCCAGTCCTGTTCACCAAATACCCATGGGCTCCATAGTAGTTCCTTTTTGGATAGGATTCCATACATGAACCTACTTTGGAGCCTCTAGGTAAACTCTAAACCCTAATGCTGGTGTAGCTTTGGAGATCGTCGGTGCAAGGGCCGGCAAGAGTCACGGCTGAGCTTTATCGAAGTTGGTAGTTTAGGTTTTAGGGTTTTTTGAGGTTGAGGATCTTGAGTTTACGGTCTAGGGTTTAAGGTGTGAACGTGGCAAGCTTTGTAGGAACAAAATGTCCGTATTTCTGCATGCTGAAACAGTCTTTTTTTGAGGGGGGGGGTCAGTTTGACGTTTTCGGGTTTATGGTTTTCTACGAGGGCCTTAATTAATAGTTACCTATACTATTTTGGGGATTTCTCATGATAGTTATAGAATAATGGGCCCCGAAACCCTCTTCTAATTATTTTAAGGTCACTATAGGGCTCCTGGCCCCTTCTAGTGAGATCCCAAACCTTAGCCCCCAAGGCCCGAACCCTCCCCCAGAAAGCCCATGATCACTTTCAGAGCCTTAGGGCACTATGTTGGGGGGTTCGGGGTTTACCTAGGGGTACTTAGAAATAACTTTTGCTTTTTGGTTATTATAATCCCTAAGAAACAGCCAAAATTCCAGCTTTTGCTAGGGTTCTAAGTTCAGTATAGATAAGGTCTCCACGGGGATTCTATAAGGGATTTATCTATAAAGGCTCGACCCGAACCCCAAAAGTATGTAGAAGTTCAGTATAGTTTGGGGGGGGGCCTCTGTGGCTAAGCAGCCCTCCAATCTGAAGGCCTCGAGCCAAGCCTGAAACCTAGCCGAAAATCTGAACCGTAAACCCTACCCATAGGCCCCAAAGTGGAACTACTTTGGGGCCTTAGGGTAGACCCAGATATGAACCTTCATACATACCCTAAACCCAGATATGGGTGGTTGTCAAAATTATAGTCTCTTTTTGGGTACCCTAAATAATAGGTGCCGTATTAGAATAAGGACCCAGAAAGGGACCATAATTTTGACAACCACCTACTATGAACCCTCATACATGAACCCCGAACCCTAAACCCAACCCTAAAACCCTTGGGCCCGCAGTGGTTCGACTGAGTTGCCGCATGACAGGAAGTGCAGTCCCCGAAGACGGCGAATGCAGAGGACAGCGTGAACTGTACCTTAAGCTAGCATAGCTTGCTTTCTTGTGAGCTCTCATTCTAAACCCTGATATGTAGGTTATAAGTGTTGTAGATTATGGACTGTAGCTTGGTTCACAGCAAGGGGTTGGGATTCAAGTTTGCCAAGAACCCTACTCCGCATAAGCGGTGAACCCTGCACACTTTGTTTGGGTGGTCAAGGTGTTGCTGGTGGCCGCACGTCTGGTCGTGTGCAACTCAGTAATGTCCGTTCTGACCAACGCCTCAGCATGTTCGGCTGGAGAGTATCCCAAAGGCTCCATGTACCAAAATAGTAGATACATATGCCTTAAAGGGGTCCCTATATGGGCACTTTAAAGCCTAAGTATCTACTATATGGGTACACGGAGCCTTTGGGTATATTATTTTCTACTGCTCCGGGATGTGCTGGATTGCAGGGTCATTGGTAGAGGCGACGAGGTGGTAGCCTTGCAGCTTATCATGTCCAGAGGCAGCTGTCATGTCCACAGGACTCCGGGCTACTGCAGGCACCGGAATACTCAACATCTAGGATGCCCTGTAGTACCCTTATTCCCTTTTTGTAGTCCTAGGTTCCTTATAAAGTTACCCAATACCAAAAAGAGAGGCCTTTTTATTCTTAGGTTCCTGGGTATCCTAGGGAATACTCAACATGCCTCCCCTTTCACGAGGATTAGCGTGCATACTGTGTCTCTGGTCCTCGAAGACCTGGGATGTGCCGGGCAGGGTTTGCTCCAGAATTCAGAGTAAACCCGGGAACACCCAACTGTTGGGATGATAAAGGGTTCCTACAAATCTTGGCCATACTCCAGCAAGAAGGGTTTGAGTCAGGGACCCGAAGCTCAAAGCCTTAAAGCCCGAACCCAGAACCCCCCGAAGCCCGTAAACCTGTATAAAAACTCCAATATAAAGCCATTGTCGGTGTGTAACCACTATTAAAACCCTCCACCCTAACCCAAAACCCTATAAGCCCCAGTGAAACCTTGCCAAACCCTACCTAACCCCGACTAGTAGAGTAGGTAACCTTTAACCTTTTTTGGGTAGTATAGCCCCCATATTAATCCCTATATACCCAAAAAGGTTAACCTTTCGCTCCCCATGATGCCCGACAAGTAGAAACCCTAAACCTTGGAGCCCTACCTTTGCTTTTGGAGTCGGTGAGGAGTTGCGAAAGCTTGCTGACCCGCGAGGTCCAGGGAAGATGGCGTGTCCTTCAGGGATTTCGGGCTTTTGAGGGTTCACCGGGCCTATGGGGGCTTTAATTTAACTAATATTGACCCTACTCCTATATCCCCACACCCCTAAACCCCAAGCTTTCAGGTTTCAGGTTTTGCTTGGGTTTAGGGGCCTCAAATTCATTCGGGAGGGGCGGGGGACGCTTTTAGGGTTTGGACTTCGGGGCATTGCTGTACTGTAGGGTTGAGGTTTCGGGTTTAGGGTTTAGGGTTTAGGGTTTAGGGTTAAGGTTAAGGGTTTAGGGTTTAGGGGGCTTTGCAGGCTGGGCTCGAACTTTCTGCACACAGACCTTGCAGATTCTGTTCAGTCTTCACATCACGAAACACGCCGGAAAAGCACAGACGGCAACTGTCGCCAACTTGTGCATGCTCCAGCCGAATCCAGAGGCAAGTTGAGTTTCGTACATCATAACTTAGGGTTTAGCGCTTAGGGAATCTTAAGAGCCACAACCCCCGTCTTAAACCCTCAAGTCTAAACTCTCAACCCACGGATAAGGCTCCAAGTCAGCCTGAAAGCTCAACTCTGAAACACAAACCAAGCATCAGTGCAAAGGTGGATACTGGGCAAGTTAATCAGTTGCCCCCCGGAACGCTGCCAAGTTGCAAACTGCCATCATGTCCTAAAGGCTGACTGCAGGGAGCACCCGCGCCAGTTAATTGTTTTTGGATCCTTCTAGAAGCCCTGAAGAATCCTTATAGAACCTCGTCGCACCCCCAGAGAATCCCAGAACCTCAAACCCTAGCTCCTCCACGGCTGGGATCTTTGACTCAGGCTTTGCGCAGCCTCTGCTCACTTCTTCCGTGTCAGCTGTGGGCTTCGGGCCCGGTATTCCATCTTTTTCAGCTTGAGCCGCTTAGGTCTTAGGTTCATATTTTCTACGATGTTACTATGGTATACCCTACCCCCCGTCAAAGACCACCTAGTCCGTGCATTAGATGTTAGCTCATGTCTGTGTGTGTGCGTGTGTATGCCTGTTGTTTTTTTTGTTCTTCAAGGTTTGAGCATTGGATGCGGGCCTAAAGTATTTCAGGAGCTCGGGGTTTGATTGGAGCCCTGTTGCAGGGCGCTTAGGTCACAGGGCTGCACCGTAAATCAAACAATCGTATACGTTAGGGTCACTGGATGCCCTATGGCTCCATGTACCCCTATAATATAAACTTAGGCCTTAAAATGCCTATATAGGGAGCCCTTTAAGGCTTAAGTATCTACTATAAAGGTACATGTAGCCTTTGGGATGGAGGTGTTGTGACAGATGTTGTCATGGTGAGAGCCGAATATATGGATTTGAACTCTGAACAATCGGTCTCAATATCCGCTTATCTGGTCCATACAAAAGTTAGACTATACTATACCCATATATATATATATATATATATATATATATATATATATATATATATATTCGGGACACTATATTCAACCCTGAGACCCCGCACTCGCTACAAACGACTCGATCCGAAAAGGGCAAGCTGCACGACGCACGAGCGCCTGCAAAGAAGCTATATTTCTCGAGCATGCCCTTCCTTCCTCCTCAAATGGTCCTCCCCCGGGAGAGAGCTGGAAGAGCGAGAGAGAGAGAGAGAGAGAGAGAGAGAGAGGGTAGCAGAACCGTTTTGGGTTCCCAGTCGGTTCGGTGGTTTAGTGGGTAGCGAAGAGGGCTTTGGAACACACCATACCCGCAGTATACGGCACAAGAACCCTACTGTCGGCCGCGATATGCCTATGTGGTTCTGTAGTGCCTTTCGTTTGGAGGGCTTGATTCAGGCTATGGTACGGGGTTGCAGGCCGAGACAGATGCGCAGCAGGACAAAACATCAGGAATACTCTGGTGCGTGGGGTCTTGCGGCCGAGGGTTGAAGGCTTTAAGGTTTAGGGTTTATAGGGTTAAGGATTTCAGGTGTAAGGTTTACGGCTTTAAGGTTTAGGGTTTAGGGTTAAGGCTTTAAGGTGTAGGGTTTGGGGATCTAGGACCGTGCCGTTACACTCTGAACCCCGCAGGCCCCTAAGATCCAACCCTACTTGGAAGGGCAGGGGACTTAGTAAGTAGGTTATAAGTAGAGTTATAGGTACCCCAAATGGAGTTCCCCCAATTATAACCCTACTCATAAGCTACTTACTAAGTCCCCTGCCCTTCCAAGTAAGCGCTATGACCCCTAGGCCCAAGAGAAATGCGGGCCCCACGCCTTCAGGAGAATCTAAGTTACTATAAGGGCCTTAATAATTAGCAATACTATGTTCCTTGATATGCTCATTAATTATAGTAGACTGGGTACCAAAACCTTAGTTTTGTTATTAAGGCCCTACATTACTATGGTTCGACGATTCGATTTTTCCGATCTCATACGCCTTGCCCTGGACCCCAAACCCTGAACTCAACGAAGGGTTTAGGTTTAATGTAGGAACCCGATTAAGAAACCCTGGGCCTATGACCTCAAAAGACTAGGATCCATATAAGGCGCCTTACTAAAGACCCAGGGTTTCTTAATCAGGTTCCTACATTAGGGTTTAGGAGGGTCAACACCCTATTGGCTGTCTACTGCGCTCGTACCTTCTCACAGCGCTGAGCATCAGCTCAGCATCGGCAGCAAAGCCTGACCCCGAAACAAGCCATGCACTTTAAGCCTTTCTGGAAACATCCAAGGGGTTTAGGATTTAGGGTTTATGGTTTAGGGTTTAGGGTCTAGGGTTAGCCAGACTTGTAGTGCTATACTCAGTTGCTAGACCAGCAAACGACTAAGTTGTGGGCTCAAAAGGTGGTTAGCATGTGGGAGCCGTGAGTATCTGGGATGGTTTCGATTTCAAACTCGGATGAAAGTGCATAGCATAAAATCCCCTTCGGACTTTCGGGTTTCGGGATCCCGAAATATGTTGCTAGGATTACTATTGGATTATGAGGGTCCCCTTTACGGCGCACGATCCATACGGCCCAGCGCGGATGGATGTTGAGTCCACTCCCGAGCGCAGCTTCGTCGACGATGCGGCCGCTTACCGCCAGGATGTTGCCGTTCTCGGTTTCAGGGTTCAGGGCTTAGGGTTTAGGGTTTAGGTTAGGTTCGGGCTTTACCTATATTATTCCCTAAATACCCACTATTAAGGACCACAGGGGCTCTATTGGGGGGCACTTGGGGGGTTTTGGTAGGGGTTTGAGGGTTTGGGGCTTAGGTTTGCAGGTGTAGGGTTGAGGGAGGGGCGAAGACCAGAGAAGGATACAAGACCTATCAGGACCGTTAGGCCCTACGAAAAATGCAGTAATTGAGGCACCTATGAGAAATTTTGGTATGCTTTTTACTTCACCCAGTTTCGTGTATTTGGGTTAGGGTCAAGGGTTGCGCCGTGCGCAGCAAGGCAAAGGCGGAAAGACCGCTTCAATCCTGCGACTCTATATATGTGCTAAGGATTCACCCACTGAGTCACCCACTGAGTTAAGGGCCGCCCTAAGAATCGGACTGGAACCCAACCCTAAGCCCTACGCCCTAAGTCCCTACATCCATCCGAGGAACCCGCAGTCCCTAAACCTTAAGCCCCAAACCCCTAAACCCTAATGAACCCTCCCAGAGGCTCCGTTGCAGTTCCTTTTTGTGGCTTGTATTTAGGATCCGATACGGTAATCCCAAAAAAGGAATTACAATGGAGCCTATGGGTAAGCCGGTTAACCTGAAACCCCGCAACCTTACACCCTCAACCTTAATTAAACCCTGAACCTCAAAACCCCTCAACTCTCCACCCTATGAAAATCTTAAACCATTGATAAGCCTTAAACTCCTCAACCTTCAGCCCCTCAACCTTAAATCCCCCAACCTTCAACCCCTCAACCTTAAACCTCTCGACCTTAAACCCCTCTACCTTAATACCCCTCAACCTTAAACTCCTCAAACTTTACACCCCTAAACCTTCAACCCCTCAACCTTCAACCCCTCAACCTTAAACCCCTCAAACTTAAACCCCCTAAACCTTAAAACCCCTAAACCTTAAACCCCTCAAACTTAAATCCCCTAAACCTTAAACCCTACACCTTTAACCCTTCAAACTTAAATCCTTAAACCCTAAACCTTAAACCCCTCAAACTTAACACCCCTAAACCTTAAACCCCTCAAACTTAAAACCCCTAAACCTTAAACTCTATACCCAGAACCCCTAAATTAAACCTTAAACCCTAAACCTTAAACCCCTCAAACTTAACACCCCTAAACCTTAAACCCTACACCTTTAACCCTTCAAACTTAAACCTTAAACCCTAAACCTTAAACCCCTCAAACTTAAAACCCCTAAACCTTAAACTCTATACCCAGAACCCCTAAATTAAACCTTAAACCCTAAACCTTAAACCCCTCAAACTTAACACCCCTAAACCTTAAACCCTACACCTTTAACCCTTCAAACTTAAACCTTAAACCCTAAACCTTAAACCCCTCAAACTTAACACCCCTAAACCTTAAACTCTATACCCAGAACCCCTAAATTAAACCTTAAACCCTAAACCTTAAACCCCTCAAACTTAACACCCCTAAACCTTAAACCCTACACCTTTAACCCTTCAAACTTAAACCTTAAACCCTAAACCTTAAACCCCTCAAACTTAACACCCCTAAACCTTAAACTCTATACCCAGAACCCCTAAATTAAACCTTAAACCCTAAACCTTAAACCCCTCAAACTTAACACCCCTAAACCTTAAACCCTACACCTTTAACCCTTCAAACTTAAACCTTAAACCCTAAACCTTAAACCCCTCAAACTTAACACCCCTAAACCTTAAACTCTATACCCAGAACCCCTAAATTAAACCTTAAACCCTAAACCTTAAACCCCTCAAACTTAACACCCCTAAACCTTAAACCCTACACCCTTAACCCTTCAAACTTAAACCTTAAACCCTAAACCTTAAACCCCTCAAACTTAACACCCCTAAACCTTAAACTCTATACCCAGAACCCCTAAATTAAACCTTAAACCCTAAACCTTAAACCCCTCAAACTTAACACCCCTAAACCTTAAACCCTACACCTTTAACCCTTCAAACTTAAACCTTAAACCCTAAACCTTAAACCCCTCAAACTTAACACCCCTAAACCTTAAACTCTATACCCAGAACCCCTAAATTAACCTTAAACCCTAAACCCTAAACCCTAAACCCTAAATCCAGAGCCCGAAGTCAGGAGCTCTCCCGCATTCGACATCGCCTCGGGGACTTGCAGGGCCGCCGTGCCCTGGAGGAGGCGGGGCAGGGGGTACCCAGAACTACCCAGACCTTCCAAAATCCGGTGCTTTAAAGGGGTTCCTTCAAAGGGATCCAAAAAGGGATCTAAAGGGATCGATAATCCCAGACCTTCCCAAAATCCCTTAATTAAGGAATATATACCTTATATAAATATCATATGAAGGATCCTACTGCAATTTAAGGGATCTTCCTTAATTAAGGGATTTTGGAAGGTCTGGGTACCGAAACCGATGTTTTTGGATAGGGTCCCGAAACATTCTGCGGTAAACTCCATAAAGTTGGGAACCTGATAAAGGTCAAACAGTCCTGGGATCCCCTTATACATTACTCTTAAGGATTGAGGCTATTGGGTTCCCAACTTTTGGGCTTCTACTGTATATCAGGGTTTGTACTGCTTCAAGAACTCGCGTGGAAGTTTGAGGTCGGGTTTAGGGTGTCTTAGGGTGTAGGGTTTAGTTTAGGCAGTAGGAAGTTCAGGGTTTAAAGGGTGTAGAACTAAAGCTGCGGGTGGGTGTGCAGCTTGGGGTACGGTGTGGAGTTCAGGGGTTTGGGTTTACGGGGCTCCAAACAACAGCATCAACAACCACCACGACAA